GCAGTTTCCTCTCACACTTCCAAGAATCGTCCAACTAAGCAATTCCTTCTCTTATGCTCTCTTTTTGAAAGTCCTTGAACAAAATTCTTTCTCTCCAGTTGACTTCTTTTTCCCACCACAGCATTAACGAGACACTTCTTCACCAAGTTGGGCAGAACATTTCCTTCCTATGTACAGAACAGGCACATAATCTTTCACTTCTTGACGATGTTGACAACCCACCAATTATGATTCGCAAGCACATGTCCCTTAGTTCTTGCTGTGAATCTATTGTCCGTCCACATACAATCATACAACGCGACTTTCTTGCGTGTAATGAAGACATTCTGGAGCAACTCACGCTCCAGAATCTCCAGACCATAAGAGTTGACACATTCCATGCCCAAGAGAGGAGGTGCTATCCTTGCAATATAGCGAGGCTAACTTTTGACAGCCGTGAGCTGCCACCATCTGTTTACGTAGCGGGACAACACCTACAAGTGCGGGAGGTGATCCCTACCCTGCAGAAATGAAGAAAATGCTGGCGCTTCTGTTACCCGGGAAAAAAAAATGCAGGTGAGAAGCAGAATGCCCTGTCTGTGGTGCAGCCAACCATAGCAGTCCGTCCTGCAGCCACCTTCCTGCCTGCCTTAAGTCCAAAGAGGCGCACCCGGCCTATTCTCGCCATTGCCCAATTTTCTTAAGAAAAAAGGGAGATCCATTGTGTTTTGGAGAAAGAGGGTTTCTCTTGCGCCATGGCAGTTTCCCACCTCCGCCTCCAGGGAAGACGCCCACGGCTCTCTTATTCCAGGCTCGCTAGACAAACTCCACACTTCGGTGATGCCTGCTTCCACAATTGCCTTTGCGCCTCTTACTTCCACAGTCAACTCTGTGTCCAACCCTTTTAAGGTCCTGGGCTCTGAGGTTCCAACCTAATCATCTCTTAATGTCTCTACTTCTTCACCTTCCCACTCATATGTTTCAAAGTCTACGCGCCCCATCCAATCACATCCCTTCTTCTTCGAAGTCTAATCTTCACTGACGTCCAAAGCTCTTTCAACACCCAAACTACATGACATTCCCAAACATTATCCTTTCCCTATCTCTGAGTCTAGACCTTTACCTCGTGATGCATCTGATACTGCTGTGGAGGGTCATCCATCCCCAAGCACAGTTGTTCTCTCGCCTGTCCCTCCGGAATTTCTGCCTACCAAAACACCTCCACCCCTTTCTTGGTGTCTTTCGTTGTCTCGAGCTCAGCAGACGGAGGATCGAGCCTCCACCAGTCATGCGCTGAATGACCCACATGGGTTTAGCGTTTAACATGAATTATTACATTTTTTATTCCTCTGCAGCCAAACTCTCTCCGACTTCTCTCTCATCCGAAAGTACTGAAGCCATCTTTGCGTTTGTCGAGGAGACAACACCTATAATAGACACCGGTCCACCCACAACACTTCACATTCTAACCTTCAGCACATTTCTTCACACCATCCTAATACCTCCCTCCTTACTAATTTCCAAATGCCTCCACATGTTGACTATACTAACCCTCCTCGTCCGTAGACACTTGCAAAATGTTGCTGTTACTCTCTATTAGCCGTTCATGGCTGATTTCCAGTGGAATATTCGAGGCCTCACGGGTAATCGGGGAGAGCTTCAGGTTTTGCTCTCCCAGTTTCCCCCTGTTTGTGTCTATTTGCAAGAACCAAAAATTGCGCTCTACTGATCTCCTCCTCTCCTCATATAAGATTTTAATGCTCATCATTTCCTCTGGGTAGGGTCTCACTGTGACTCTTGTGGTGATCAGTTAGAGTTTTTTCTCACTTCTCTTTCCCCTCAATGTTCTAAGTACAGATGCTCCCACTCATTTCGACCCTCACACTCAAACTTTGTCTTGTATAGATTTCTCAATTTGCTCCTCAACTGCCCTCGACTTTAGTTTGTGCTTCTGATTTACATAACTTCTTCTAGCAAAGAGGAGTCTAATGTGCCTTTCACGCTTCTAGAACTGGAGTCAACACTTTCCGCTTGCAGATCGTCGGCAGCTGGACTGATGGCATTCATATTCGTATGCTTCAGCATTTGCATCCGTCAGCCCTTACAGTCCTCTTACGTCTTTTAAATCTTATTTGGTCGCAAGGGTTCTTCCCCACTTGTGGAAATCTGCTGTTGTTCTGCTTTCTCGTAAACCAGGTACGTCCGGCCATGATGCCTCACACTATCGTCCCACTGTTTTTACCAGTGCAGCTTGTAAGTTGATGGAACGTCTAGTAAATAGTCATTTGGTGTGGTATTTAGGGGCACACAATAGCCTCTCCACTAGTCAATATGGCTTTCGTAAGGGCTTCTCCACTATTGACTCCTTCCTCAGCTTAGATACCCATGTACGTAATTACTTGCTAGTAACCACTCAGTTATTGCAATCTTTTATGATCTTGAAGAGGCATGTGACACCACTTGGAGATATAACATCTTGGCCCAAATTCATTTCTTAGACCTCTAAGGCAATCCGCTACTTTACCTAAAAACTTCTTATCTGAACATTTCTGTGCTCGGGTTAATAATTCTCTTTCCTCGGACTTTGTCCAAGCTGAAGGTGTCTCTCAGGGATGTGTCCTTAGCACTACTCTTTTTCTACTTGCTGCAAATGGTCTGGCCTCTGTTCTCCCATCTAATCTCATTATATTATGTTGATGACTTGCTACAGCCTGTGCAGGCGCTGACTGTCGCTTAGTAGCAGATTCAATAAAAAATACTGTGAACCGTGTTTTCCATTGGACCACTACTAGACGACCTGATGTCTCTGATATACCAGTGTACCTGTATGGCTCACGTAACCCTGAAAGTTATACGGTCAGATTCATTGGTCTTCTGTTTGATCGTCGACTGTCCCGGAAATCTCACATAACCCCCTGAAAACAACTTGTCACAGCCGGCTGAACCTCCTTAAAACCCTCACTCGTCTTTCGTCGGGGGCCGATGGTTCAAATTTCCTTCGATTGCATTCAGCCCTAATATGATCGAAACTAGAATATAATGACCAGATATATTCTATGGCTTCTCGCACAGCTCTTTCTAAACTTGATCAATCCATCATCAGTGATTACGTTTATGTCCAGGATGTTGTCGCTCTTGCCCTGTCGAGAGCTTATATGTGAATGTTCCAGCCTTGAACGACCGCAGTGATGCCGACAGCCTCCTCTATTTTGTCCGCTCTCATGACCTTCACGAACCTTCTACATACAGGATGGTAATGGACATTAGCGAGATAAAACGTCGTTCGGATTTTTAACCCCGGAGGGTTAGCCATCCAGGATAACCCAAGAAACCATACCCCCAGCTGGGATTGAACCCGCGGGCTTAGAGTCTCAAAACTCCAGCCCGTCGCGTTAGCCACTAGACCAGCTAGCCACAATAAGATTCATCCAACTAGGTATATTTCTACACCATAGGAAGGTTAGCACAGGCACCTCTGTGACCACAAATGCAAGTTTTTACAGACGAATCTCCAGCTAGCGTGGCCGTGACGAACTCTAGCTCAAGTTTGTTTGCAATCGTGTCATTACGATTTCTTGAATCATAACCCAAGAAAGTCAGTGCGTCATCGAGGACTGTCTAACTTATTTCCATTGTGGTCCTCAATCTTGTCCCCCAGGATGCGACCCACACCAGTCGACTAACACCCAGGTACCTATTTGCTGCTAGGCGAACATGACAACAGGTGTAAGGAAACGCGATGAAATGTTTCCACCCCGCCAGGAATCGAATCCGGGCCCTCCGAGTGTGAAGCGAGATCTTTACCAACCAAGCTACGGAGCCATTATTTGTCCACCGTCCCTGTTTCACCTCTTTTCGCTCTTGATTTCTCTTCAGCTGTTCCCTTTATACATTCACCCACCACCTAACTCTTCTCTTCCTGCTTGAGAAGTTCTGTCACATCGAGACTGTTCTTCCTCACTGTCGTTCCTGAAGCTTCAACACACACAGTTGCTTCCCGCTACCATTTCCTTAACCACTTCCGGTCTCATTCTCATTCCGTTACAGTACATACTGATGGTTCTAAATTCTGTCGTACCGAATAGGTAAAACTGATCAATTAGCAAGAACTCATTTAAAATTAAGTTCTTTCTAAAATTTTCTCTTATACTTTTAAAGATATATTTTTTTCATTTATGTTAATGTAAAAATTAATAATTTTGTACCAAAAGAACCTTAGAAAATTTACCTAACCTTATTATAAGCAGTGCAATTACATTTAGCCTAATCCAACTAAATATATTTTAGATAAGCTTACACTAATTTAATAATAAACAATCAATTAAATATATTTTTTTTCGTTAGGTTCAGATTAATTACTGCAGACACAGATTTTCACTGGCCTTATTCTGCAAGAAGAGCGTTGCTATTTATGCCAAAATCGCAAGTTTTAGCTATTCGGCACAATATATATATATGTCTGTGTGTACTCACCTAATTGTGGTTGCAGGGATCGAGACTCAGCTCCTGGCCCCACCTCTTCACTGAACGCTACTAGGTTCTATCTCTTTCTGCTCCATGAGCTTTATTATACCTCATCTTAAAGCTATGTATGGTTCCTGCCTCCACTACATCCCTCGCCAGACTGTTCCACTTCCTGACTACTCTATGACTGATGAAATGCTTCCTAACATCCCTTTGGCTCATCTGAGTCTTCAACTTCCAATTGTGACCTCTTGTTTCTGTGTCCCACTTCTGGAACATCCTGTCTCTGCCCACCTTGTCTATTCCACGCAGTATTTTGTATGTCGTTATCATGTCTCCCCTAACCCTCTGTCCTCCAGTGTCGTCAGGGCGATTTCCCTTAACCTTTCTTCGGGTGTGTGCGTGAGAGAGAGAGAGAGAGAGAGAGAGAGAGAGAGAGAGAGAGAGAGAGAGAGAGAGAGAGAGAGAGAGAGAGAGAGAGAGAGAGAGAGAGAGAGAGAGAGAGAGAGAGGGAATGTACAGAACAAGAACTAATAATCTCTCCACTGTTCTTGCAGCGTGGACACACGTGCAAGGCAACACAGAGGGAGGTGAAATCACTACGTCTCCGTGCTGGCTGGTGCATCAGTGAACACCGCTACAAACCCAAGCAGTGCGGGGCTTGTGTTGACCGCTGCTGCACTGTGCATACCTCCACCACCATTTCTGTGGCATTCCTCTGCCCTCTACATTACAACAAGGACCTCTCTGCCTCTCGACCTCGGTATCATATTCTTTCCAAACTACGTGGAACCCATCCTCTCACCCGTCCAACCACCACCACGACCACCACTACCCAAGCCCCTAATGTGTACGATATGATGGATGAAGGTCAGCCGGTAGTAGAAGTCGCTCAGACGTATATACGACCACTAGATAATGAAAATACAGCTGAGGGGCGTCATTATACAGACCTACAAGACGATAAACACCCAGCCAGCAACTACTACAAATACAAAATCGTCGGAAGTAGCAGCAGCTATCGTGAAAGTGACTTTCACTTGTTACATAATAACTTGTTAGTCGGGGGGCGAGTAAAATACAGCCATCAAAAGCGACAGCTACGAGTATTTCCCCAGGTGGAGGGGATCCTTGGGGGCAAATGCAGCAGGCCCGCGACATCCGCCTGACCACACCACTCCCACGAAACCCGGGAACTTGGACGACACCACAAACCCCTAGTAACATTTAGGACATCTTTTAACGTTACGAACCAAATGTTTTAGGGACCTTGTATCCCCTAAAAAATGACAACAATCCCCCTGTTACATAGGAGATTCCAAGGAACACTTCGTAAGAAATTATAGCAACTCAAGGATATCGGTAGCATATCGCAGTCACACAGTGAAGAGCAGTGTGTGGAAAAAAGGCGTCACACCCATCAAAAACGAGCATCACTACATAAACACCAAACTCAGGTGTAAGATAGAGGTATCACCCAGTGAATCCCAGCACCACTACTCCACAACACACGTCCAACATGTCGATGTTTCACCCAGGAGATACCAGCACCACCGCACCATAACACAGGTCCAGGATGCTGCTGCTCAATAGTCGAAACAAATACTTCTTTATAAGTTAGCCTTGAGAGTGTGGTTAGTGGTGTAGGGAAGTCTGGAATAGAACCTTACCTCATCAGTATAATTATATTCACGGGTAAGCTCTAAACAAGTAAGGTTATTTAGTGCCTGTTGAATGGGAGACGTGGAATGTAAATTAGCCTTGATCTGAATCAAGAGGTGCACACCAACTTAAAGTAATTCATCTTGAAGGGGAGAGTATGATCAGTAGTGGGAGGAAGTCTTCTATAACTGTCTATACCGTGATACGATGGAATCGAATAATAAACAAATCAAGGTCAGATGTCCACGCACCTCGAACACAAAGTGTCCTTGAACCTTTAAAATGTCTTGCTATTAACGTGTAAATTACATTTGCTGGTAAAATTAATATTCGCACATTTTTTTCTGGGAGATTCGGCATTATAGCGTTAGGGTCTTGATTGGTAAATGTTATATTGTTAAGGTTATGTAATAATATATACTGAATGATACTTTCTATATAGCTGAGGTAATATAGTACTATGGTTCTTACATATCTATTAAGCTACCAGAGCTATATTTCTCAGGTCATTTCATTAACATGATAGGGTACACACACATGCAGTGGTACTCCTCTTGGGAGCACCACTGGGTCATCAGGCCATCCACACAGTCCTCAAGGACAAATTGAATGACCTGAAGAGAATAGAGGAGAGAATATGTGATCTTGATGCCCATGATGCTCTGTATCTCCTCACAAATTGTTTTACTCTGCCAAGACTCACTTCCTGACGTGCTCAGCCTCTTTCGACAACCCAACACTTAGTGAATATGACTTACTCCTGAGATCTATCTTTAAAAAGGCACTGAATCTGTCACTGGAAGATCAGAATTTCTGTCCTCGTGCGTGGCTTCTAGTGGACAAGTCAAGGATATTGTCCCCGAACTCTTAAGAGGTGCGGCAGGAGATCAAGACCCTAGGTTCACTGAAGCAGCTACGCTGTGGGACACCCTTGTAGACTCCTCCAGCAGAGCAGCTTCGCCCAGAGAGCACAAACAGTCCCACTGGGACAAACCGATCATGGAAAAAATCGCCAACACAATGCTCAACAATGCTTCAGGAAAGGACAGAGTTCGTCTCCTGGCTACTAAGGCACCACATTCGGGAGATTTCCTTTTAGTTGTTCGCAGCTCCTCCCTGGGCAACCGACTCTACCCAAAGGCCATTCGGATTGGTGTTGCTCTTCGCCTAGCCGCTTCCATACTCACTGAACGTAGGTGCATTTGCGGTAGGGCGTCAGCTGATCAATTCGGACATCAGGGTCTCATGTGTCATACATCAGAAGGGAAGTATCATAAAAAGAAGCCTCGCCACAGCCCGTTACCCAGCTCAACGGGAACCACAAGTATGGAGGTCAGACGGAAGTCAAAAAGTCCAGATGGATCCACTATGCTACCCTGGAAAGATAGTAAGCAGATTGCCTGGGACTACACCTGTGCTGCCACTTTGGCGGACACCTATATGCCATACTCTGAAGTTGATGGGGGTGGAGCCGCCAGTTACAGGAAAACCCAGAAAATCCGCAATTATGACGGCCTGCCCAGTTGCTATAACTTCATCCCAGTAGGGTCAGAGACCCTTGGAGCATGGGGCAAGTGTGCTCTGAAATTCCTCAAAGAGCTGGGAGAAAAACCTCATCACACAAACTAAGGATCACAGAGGGCCAGCTTCCTCTTTCAGAGATTCAGTGTCGCGATCAAGAGGGGAAATGCCTGCGGCATTCTGGGCTCGCGGCCGACTGCCGGGGAGCTGGATGAAGTGAAATATCATGTATGTTGTTTTACTCCCTATTGTATTTTTGTTAATGTATTTTGTCTTTAAATAAAGTTTACATAGAATATAACATATAGGGGCTGGTAGGAGAAGAAAATGTTCAAACAGCTCTGGGGAAAATCTTGAGTTTTCCCTGAAGTAAGTTTATTCTTTTCTCTGAGGATGAGGGTCCCCAGTCCAGTTCCAGAGGTGGTACCTCCTCTACATATAATATATATATATATATATATATATATATAATATATATATATATATATATATATATATATATATTATATATATATATATATATATATATATATATATATATATATATATATATATATATATAATATATATATCTGTGTGTATGTGCGGGTTCAATCCCGGCCGGGGTATGGTTTGTGTGTGTGTGTGTGTTTTGTGTGTGTGTGTGTGTGTGTGTGTGTGTGTGTGTGTGTGTGTGTGTGTGTGTGTGTGTGTGTGTGTGTGTGTGTGTGTGTGTGTGTGTGTGTGTGAAATGTCGTGTCGAATAGGTAAAAGCTTGTCAGTTAGCAAGAACTCATTTAAAATCATTTAAAATTAAGTCCTTTCTAAAATTTTCTCTTGTATGTTTAAAAATATTTTTTCATATATGTTAATGTAAAAATTAATCATTTTGTACCAAAAGAACCTTAGAAAACTTACCTATCCTTATTAAAACAAGCGCAATTTAATTTAGTCTAATCCAACTATATGTATTTTAGATAAGTTTACAATAATTTAACAATAAACAAACACAATGGAATACTGTATATGCAAATTTTCGCTTGCCAAATTCGGCAAGAATAGCTTTGCTATTTAAGCCAAAATGGCAAGTTTTAAGTATTCGTCTCTCTCTCTCTCTCTCTCTCTCTCTCTCTCTCTCTCTCTCTCTCTCTCTCTCTCTCTCTCTGCAGCTACACACATACAAACAGCATAAGCGGTTTGAAAGGAACACTGGGTTACCCTTGTTTACTCTGAGAAATTTTATTTTCTAAATTGGGCGAAAAGACCCGCTCTTGTAAACCTCAGGAAAATGAAGCAACATGTATATAAGTGTAGAAAACCACTGGTTCTCTAATCTAACAGAGTTTCTCGTCAGGAGACAAATGACGTAGTCAGACCACTGTTTTCAATATTACTCTTGTGTTATACTGGTTGTCATAACAGACAAAATATCACTATAGCAATAGTGACAATGGTAGTTATATTATGTTAATGGGGAATTGGGATGAGCATTACTTAAAATAAACGTATTTTTGTAGGCCTATATGTAAGCTGGTTGATTTATTTTATATGTCAATATATGTCAATATATGCGTTAATGTTTACTTGCAAAGACATTCTACAAATATCTTTAGTAATAAATCATGAGACGGACGTCTACCACTGACTTAGCAGAATATTAACGAAGATCTCACATGTCAAATTTATGATAAGGAACTTCTCTTGATGCAACTGTGGGTGACGTATCTCGAAATAGTTGACCATTCCTGCTGTAAATCCAAGACCGTAAACATGAGAAGAAATGTGTTAAAATATTTGCTGTAAGTCCAAGCATTTAACATATATTCTAGAGTTACCTATTGGCTTTGTATGTTTGTGAATTAGACACCATTCTACAGTTACTGTTAATGAGGTTTGTGGAATTATAGCAGTTAAAGATCTCGTCAAAAGAAAACAATAGCATCAGTCTGGCCTTCATGCAGTTTCTGATCCATGTAAGTAACCCCAGGCAAAATACAGAAGGAAATAGTTTTACAGGAAATGCAAATATTCGACAGTCAATTACATCTCCGTTCGTAAATTAAGAAATCAAAGTATTCGACAAGAAAAAAATAGATTTGCGAAGCGTGGCTGGGTGGCTCAATTACTAGTATTATTGCAAAAATTTATCGAGAGAGTGACAAGACACTGAATAACTAGTGAGAAATTTATTTAGCAGAAGCTAATTGGTCCGCTAAAGGTTTCCGAAGTTAGCGGAAATGTTAATCCGCTAAAGAAAAAATGAGTTCCGCTTAATTAGCGGATTAGCGGAACTGTGCCCACTGCTGTGTATGACCCTGATGGTACAGCACTTACTTTTGATTGTAATAATAATAATCATTAATGTGAGTAAGCTTCACTCTCCATGTGTTCTGTCAAGCCACAAGCAACACAAGGATTCTTTTACAGCATCTGGGTTCTTGTTTTGTTTAAATTAGCTTGATAAAGGTCACTGAGACTGTTGCTTGTCAGCGTGCACTGCTAGCACCTGCTGCTTGTCAGCGTACACTGCTAGCACCTGCTGCTTGTCAGCGTGCACTACCAGCACCTGCTGCTTGTTAGCGTGCACTACCAGCACCTGCTGCTTGTAGCGTCACACCCGCAATGCGTTGTTGGTGCATCCACACCTGCTGCTTGTCAGCAGCAAAGCCCGCCCTGCTGCTGCTTGTCAGTGGCATCCTCACCCGCTTGTTTTGCGTGCACTACCACACCGCTGTTGTTAGCGTGCACTACCCGCACCTGTGATTGTTAGCGTGCCTACCACCCTGCTGCTTTTTCGGCACTACCCCACCTGCTCTTGTTAGCGGCACACCAGCACCCGCGCTTGTTGCGTGCACTACCAGCACCTGTCTTGTCAGCATGCACGTCGCACCCTCGCTGCAGTGTGCAGCCCGCCCTGCTCTTTTAGCGGCATGGCCACACCTGTTGCTTTTTAGCGGCACTACCACACCTGCTGCTTTTCAGGGTGCATGCCGCACCTCGCTTGTAA